ATTGTAAACAACTGGGTAATTGACAGAATAACAACTGTACATATCTTTGAAGAATAATTTTCTCTTTATATATTCAGTCTCTTCTTCGTTTCCTTTTCATTTTAGAATTTTTGGATTTAATTAAAGATTTCTGTTATTCTAAATAAACTAAACGCATTTAGAATGTATAGAAAAAGCTGCTAATTTTATTTAATATCATTATTCAGCAGAAATGTACATATGTAATGATAAGGTCTGGTTACAGAGCTGATGTGGCATAATTTTTAGAATTTAGTGACACACAGAGCATAAAATCTAGAAATGGCAAATCTTTTAGAATTTAAACCAGGCACTGGAAGCAGAATTTAGAAAGGCACCAGGCGGCAGAATTTAAGATCCACAGAGACTGCATCAGGTGGGAAAATCCCTAATGCCAGCTACATGTAAAGTGCATTAAGACATATTAGATGAATAATTTAAATTGACAGTTTTCAATTTCTTTATTAATAAAAAATTTCTTTCTATAATGCCTGTCCACATGATAAGATTAGAAGCATTTCTGATATTTTCCATGCTCGTGTCTAGTGAAAAGTAGAGAAAATAAAGGGAAGATAAAAATGTTAAGTAAAAGATTCTAGTATCAGAAGTAAAAACATTCAACTATAATGTTTTCATTGTTCTTCCAGACGTTCTCCAAAAAGTAAGAAATTACGTGTTAATACCATGGAGACATTTTTCATTTTGTCACATTTTTCTGGAATCTTCTAGAATCGTGGGTTTATAAATCTTGCCTTCATATCTTTCTAAACTTTCCAAGCTGCAATGTCTAAAATCCTAAAGAAAAATTACCCCTACCAATTCTGTAACAGCATAAAGCTAATATTTTGGGGGGGGGGGAAATTGCAGGAAAAAAGTGTTGTCAAATTAATTTTATAAAGATAACCAGGGCTTAAATTCCAAAATCAAATGTGCCGAAGCCCTGTAGAACACCATCAGGAAAGAGGAACAAAAATTAATAAATAAATGACTAATAAAATCATTAATAATTAAAAATTAAATAATTATTAAAATAATTCACTAATTAATGCTTAAAATAATTAGTGTAAATTAAAATTTAACAAAATATGAAGAGATAAATTAAAATTTAATACACGATTTTTAATACAACTTTATTACTAAAAATAAAATTTTCAAGATGCTACTGAAATTTTTCTCAGGTACATAAAAGGAGTGACACAGCTTTCTTATTTAGGGCTCCAGGTAGAATTATGATTTTTCCATAGAACTAAGAAGTACCAGAGCAGGGCTACTGTGGACTTGGTTGCAAATTAAGCTCTGGAGAAAACTGATGTATATTCTGAGACAATTACATGAGAAAAACTCTTGCCATGAAAAAATTAAAAAAATATTTTTAATTAATTACATAGCTATTTTGCTTCAGATAAGAAATGTTTTATAAATGGTGCTTTACAGCTTTATACCTTGCTTATTTTTCAAATTAAAAAATATTGTACAGTTAAGTGGCCAAAATGGAACTTTATAATATGACAGCAAAAAATAAAAATGCTTTATTTTAATGTTATTTCTAAAATATAATTTCAAAATATTACCATTATTTAAATGACATTTATCAATGTTACAATGTTCTAAAAAAATCATAGAAAAATTCCCAGATCTCGGAAATAAAAATTTTCTTTAGAAACTGATCTTAAAGTCGCCAAATTTAGAACCGTTTAATAAAATAATTCACATCCCCAAAAGCGAAAAGTTGTTTAAGAACTCTTCATTAGAAATAATTTCGAAATGCTTATGTTTGACTTCTTGATCAGAAACTCGAGTATCCCACCATTTATATTAGAAATAGGAACAAATTATAACCCATGTACCCACTCAAAAGATAACCATATTTGTCAGAGAATCGCCAAAAATATTCCTCCAAAATGTTAATTCACACTCATAATGGCAGTCGTCAAAACAGACGGAAATTTCAGATGATTAAAATTAAGGACCTTCTGATGATTTTGGCCGAAATTAAGGATTTTTAATAACCAAAAATCAATTAAAAAAAAACTTAAGAACTTTTAAGGACTCTTAAAGACCGTACGGACCCTGTACTAATGGTGAAGAAGTAAATTGGCTGAAGATACGTTGGATCAGGATTTTAAAAAGCAAACCATATACAATGCTGTATAAAACTTCATTTGATGAAAATGTGGAGTTTTTAAAACACTAGATGTATACCCCAGACGAGGAAGACCACAGAAATTTAAAAATATAGTACTAGAACCTTTTATCATCATGCCATGCCCAACACATCCAAATGATATGATGGATCTATTACCTTATATCACCTTATATCTTACTATCATGAATATTTTCAAAAACTTTTTCATAATGATAAAAATTAAAAATGACAAATGTTAATATAAAGCTGTAATTGAAGTAATTTTAAAAGAGAAGAAATATTCAAATTAATAAATTTTAAAGAAGAAATATTCAAATAAAGACCTTTTGATATAATTAATAAAATTTCATAAAAAAGTGGTTTGATTCAATTGAAATCCCTTACTTAATATTTCATAAGTGTATGACTCATATTTTATTGACTCTAAAAATGGTTAAATGCATTTGAAGTCATAAAAATTATAAATTTCTTTTAACTAATTTTTTAAAAATGATCACATTATAAATTTAAATCAATTTAATATTTAAAAACATAAAATGAGCATATTAACAAACACCAATGTTTTTCAAACCATTCAAATACAAACCTTTAAATATCTCCATGTAATATACAATGGACTTACACCACTTCCAAAGAAAATGGCTCACATATTTCTGCTATTGTGCATACACTCAACCTCAGAATTACCGGAGTAATACCGCAGACAACATCCATGGTTAACTCAAAAACATGGTTAAGCCACGCATAGTTAAAAATAAATCAAATAAAAAACCACAGAAATTTGGAACAATCCATATTATAATTAATAGAAAAATACTGTTATGGATTTTGTATTTATTTAGTTTGCTATTTTTAATATAATTGTAATTAAAATTGCTTTATATTCCTGTGCAATGCAGCACGAGACTTATTTGAAGAGAAGCTATGCAGGAAAAATTAAAATACAGGAGCATGTGCATTAAATAAATTGTTATTTTGTAACTGTACTCTATTGCTATCCAGAAAAATTGAGAAAATACTAATATCCTCGTGTATTTAAAAAAGCTTATAAAAGCTGGAGGAAAACATCTCAATTCAGTTGTTTAGAAAACTGTTGCTGTTAACTGTAGCGAATTCACGGATTAATCAGATTAGCTTTCTCTACGTTTTTCTGTTTAATAGTTTAAAATATAACTACTGTGAGATATTGCAATATTCTACTAATATCTCTGAGGAAATTTCAGCATTTTGTTTTTATTCATTGTGATAAGAATAAACTTTATTCATTTTTCATTGGACTTGTGCATTCAATTTATTATGAACCTGTTATACACGCAACAATACTATTAACAATTTATCTGCATTTTTCAGTAGTTTAATCTGAAGAATATGTTCATTTGATTAAACAAAATCAGTACCCGCAATAAAAAGAACAACTTCAAATTTCATAATCTTATTATGCCCCAGGTTAAAAATATGTTCACAAACTTTTTTGGAGAGAGGATTCCAGAAGAAAAGCAACCAAAGTCTGAATACCCTTGAAATCCATACAGTCTTCCCGGAGCGGAGCCAAAAAAAATCAATACCAAAATAAGATTTTGGTTTTGCCTAGTTTTAAAATTTACACGGGTGTGTTACATTATGCTTGTATTTAGTTTCATAGGGGTCAATGAGAAAAAAATGACAGATTGTACACTTGATTTATTTTTATGACTGAGCAATGTACTTTTAAACGAATTGCTTAACAATGTTTATATATTCCAAATAATCTACAATTAAATTAAAAACAACAATTAAATTATACATTAAAAACAACTCCCAAATACTAGAATAACAACTGTTATCATCCCATACACTTTTCTTTTCCTTTTTGTATTTTCCATTGACAGTTCTGTTTATATTGACAGTTCATGATAGCAATTTCTCGCCGTTCCACAATAAAAAAAAAAAAATTAAAACAGGGTTCAGTTAATTGAGCATTAACTGCACCTGTATAATTAATTAGACCGAAATATACAACAAAAGTATACTTTTGAAAAATTTCAGTAACCAAATATAGATTAGGAAAAACATTTAACAAACTATATGAACTAACCAATCATCTCAACACACCTGTGCATAATATATCAGATAAGATGACATTATTTGATATGAAAAAAAAAAAAAAAAATGCTACACCAGAAAGAAGGAAATGAAATGAATCAAATGCACTAATTTACACAAATATGAAATTTTTTAGTATTTCAAGTTTTAATAAACCTCTAAACAAATATTTAAATTACAATCAGTAAATTTATAATAACTTGAATATTAGTTGCTTTTTTAACTTGTTAGAAAAACTATAATAAATACATACTTAAACCATACATACTTAAATAACAAACATACATACTTAAATAACAATTATTGATGAAAAAAACTGATAAAAATAAAGTACTTTTTCAGTATGCAATTTTATATAACTGATTTTATTATTTGAGATTTTGTAAACTATTATCTGAGAAAAACTATACGCATTATAATTTTCTAATACAACTTTAGATTCTTTACTAGTCAGTCATATTTCACAGCTGATTAGAAGTTTCAGCAATAAAAAAATTTAATATATAATGTAGCTAATATCATTTTTAATTTTAATGTCAGCAGTACTTATTTTGTGCTGTTTATATAAACAACTGACAATGTAAATAAGTACACTCAGATAGTATAAGAGCAGTAGTTAGACACTTGATTTCCCATAGTTATTCATCTATTATATATATATCAGGAACAAAGGTCAAATGCAAATTAATATTCAACGTGCATTAAGAAGTGTAAATGATGCATAATACAGATAGAAGAAGAGCACAATACATACCTGTTTTCCGGACCACAGAGCCTCAGGCTTCCAAATACATGGGGACAAAAGTTTTAAGCGTTTCCTTGTAAAAGTCAATGCACTATATATTAGCTTTTCATAGTCATTTCTAAAAAGCAAAAGAAATATTTTTTACATATTTTTTTTTTTTTGATGATAGAAAACTAAGAGATAGTACAAATTCAGTTCAACCGCTATATGGCATATTCACCGGATTTAACAGAAGCTATCAATGGTGCCCCACAGAAGAACTAAATCAATGACTACTCACAGCTATGCGTTTTTTTTTAATTACATTGAAACACAATACAATTCTCTTTATATCATAATCAAACTGAAAACAATATACCCTTTCAGATATTTTCAAGGAACTAAAGATGAAAAATTCATATGACGAGATTCAGACTGAATGGCTAGGAATTCTCACTTTTATCTGAATTCTGTTTAATGGCTCTGGCAAAGGCATGCATGTTCCACTTTGCACTTATTTATTAGGATAATTTTACATCTCACCTGAAAGATCAGATCTTGACAATCATTTTTTAATTTACATCGTTCAGTAACATCCCTTTAACTGCTTTCCAAGCGGTTAAAGGTTCTCATTTAACTTGTAATTCATGGTTCATGGCAGACTACATCAGGTTCATAAACAGAAAATTTTTTGTATATTCCAAATAAACTCGCAACGTGTTTTGTGCCTATGCTGGTAAACTTCATGATGTTGTTTTATGAGAAATGTTTCTTTTGCTCCGTTTTACTCAACTTAATATCTGGGCACCTATTCACCTGCATTGCGAGACTATTTTTATCTCTGTCAAGCGCGTTAGGTTAGTAATTCGGCTTGTTCGACAATTTGCCAGGAAATGCGTGAATAAGAGCTTGAAATTTGTTGTCTAAAAATCTTGTTCATTTATCAGATTCCTCTGTGCAAAACCACCACTAAGATTAACTGGTTGGCATTTTCAAGACATTTTGCTGTTAATGTAGAGAGGGCAGCAATCCAACTCGTACATGTTTCATGTGCAATCATAAAAGATTTGAAAGAGAAGAACGTAATGCAGGAAACCTCTTTTCCCCCCCCCAGACTGTAATGTGCCTTTATGTGTAGTGCCATGCTTCATTCTACTGCACTAATTCTAATCTGAACTAAAATTTCTGCATATTTTATTTCTTTTCAATTATTTCTTTCAATTATTTATTCTTAAATATTCAATTTGTGATTATTAAAATCCAAAATTATTTTGATAATTTTGTGCTCATTCTTAACAAAACACACTATTGAGTTAATTCAGATAATTATTTACCATTTATTGTGCATAAAAAAATTTAAAAATTCTGGAAAATATTTGTAGAATCTTTTATATTTTGTTGAACTAATTAAAAATAAACAGTAAAAAAATGGATTATTATTGCTCGGACACCGATAAGTGCAGGATGGTCTGCTTAGGATGTTTTTTGAACAAAGCCATCAACATGTGCATCATACATTTCACACACAATTCTGAGGACAATGGAGCCTTACTATTCATGACACGATTCATGGCATTTATATCTCATTACACTGGACATAACACACATCATATACGACAAACAATTCAAACAGAAGCCTTTTTATCAACTTTTATACTTAATTTTTTTTATTTTCCCCATACCATGAGTGAATATGAACAAAAATAAAATACTTAATCCCTAATAATAAAAACAAAATTAATAAAATGCAGAGATCAACAAAAGTATTGGGTTTAGTAAAAATACTTTCAGAATACACACTTACTTACCTGTCAAAAAAACGTCCTCTCATTGTTAGCAAAGTGCCTGCAATAATGTGATCCTGAATCAAACCACTAAGAGGGGTACCATCTTTTGGCACAAGATACTGGTGGTTTACATTTACAATATGGCGACACTCAGCCTGTCCGCCATAAGTCTGAGGCAAATGAGCGTTCATCTCATCCCCATCAAAATCTGCATTATATGCTTTGCAGTTTGCATAATGTAGCCTGAGGGTTTTTTCACCAGGAAGGATGCGTGCCTAAACAAAAAAGAAAGAAAGAAAACTGCTCAGTTTGATTAACAAGAATTCATTTTTTTCCTTTTCTTTTGCCATAGAAAAATATATATTTGTGATTATCTGAAGGTTTATACTTGATTTTTGTCTCCCAAAGCTTTACTAAGATCAAGTGTAATAGAAATTGTGAGTCCTATTACAAAATAGACGTACATGTTTCACAGCTTGGATAAAAGCTTAAATATTACAATACAATGGAATTTTAGATGCTATATCCTGTATATCTAATGAGGTTATAGAAAATGAGGACATTTTGTTAAAGGTTAAGTTATTTAATTACGGCAAAGTCTCGAGCTGTTAAAGACAAAATAGTGTAGATATATCATACTCATTCTTATATATTACATGGAACAAAAGGTGTTTATTACTGGTGGAAACATTTTCATTAGTTTATTATATAAAAACATATACCACATTTATTATTAAAATACTTGAAGAAAAATACACACTTTTTTTTTACATCAATATCCTTTACAAACATTCAATATGGGAAATATATATGATCTGTTTAATGTACAGTCAGTCAAAAAAAGAAGAGTAAGTTCCATACATCCTGTTCTGCTGGGCAGACTGACAAAATTCAACCTGCGCTTTTCATCTCTCGAAAGCACAGGACATATATATTAGATTTATACAGTCAAAAGTCGTTAATTCGGACACCCGTAATCCGGAATGATCTATAATCCGGACCTCAAAGCTAAAATCTTTCTGCGCATGCGCCGCATTGACGCATGCGCGTTTTACTCGTGTGCGCAAGACATTTACGACTGCGCATATGTATCTGCGCAAGTGCAGAATACGTTGTTTGCGTGCGTTTAATGTATGACGGACGTATAAGCTAAAATTATCTAATTCAGTTAATGTTGAATAATTGCATTGTATTAACTTACTTCAATTGGATCCGGCTTATTATTTTTTTGCAGACTGTAAGAGCAATTTTCTAAAAGTAAGCTTGACTTTCGATTATGTCAAATAGAATTTCCGATGCTGGAGCTCCCAAAGGATCTAGAAAACGAAAGTATGTTTCGATGTCCATCAAACAAAAAACGAATTGCTACAAAAATGAATAAAGCATATCCTTTGTTTATCTAACCGTTCGAAATCTGTTTATCAATTTCACGCTGCTCCGCGTGGGGGGGGGAGTTGGGGGGGGTTTGCGGGCGCACGTCGCGGCGCGCAATGAGCTGGAAGTTGATCTGTCACACTATCTTATCTTCAGGGCAGATGTTTTTTATTTTAGTCGGCTATAATTCCTTACTAAATGTATATTTAATTTCGATGTACTCCGTCTTTGATATGAAAATCAAATTCCTCGTCATTATAAATATCACGAATACAAATCACATAGTTTTCTGGGTTTTGGCAATTTTCTAATTTTGGCTATGAGTAAGTATGCTTTACGCATCCGCCGCGTTAAAAGAAATGTTTAATAAAGTAAACAAATAAATATTAGGCTTCTTTTTTGGTAAATTTGGATACCCTTTAGATCATAATTGCTCATTATTTTATAAATTACGGTTTTCATATTTTTAGTTTTATAATTTCTGCATGCCATCTTACCAGATTTAAACTGATGATCTATAATCCGGAAAAATCGATAATCCGGAATCGCCGAAGTCCCGACGAGTCCGGATTAAAGACTTTTGACTGTACATAGTGTTGTTCTAACATCAAAATCGAACGTTTTCCGAAATGACATGCTAATTTTTTTTTTCATACCTCCATTCTATGACTCAAATGATTTTTGAAATGACTAGTTCAGAAATTTACCTTAGCATACTTTTTTTTTAACTCTATACCATGATTTTATTTGTACCTTGGCAAACTTTTCAGTTAATGGCAACCTATTTAATTTTCCCTTTCATTCTAAATGTATGCACCCACAGTGATAATGTGCGTTACAAATTTATATACACACAAAGCTAAGATTGTTGATAGAAACAAGCTATTTCAAAAGTGATTCTGGTGTATAGCAATAGGATAACTGCAGGTATATGCACAATGCCTCAAGACAATCATTAAGGTTTTGAGGCAGTAAGTAAGCCATTAAGAAAAAAAAAAAAAATTAAGACATTAAGAAAATAATATATATTTACCACACCCACAGTGATAATGTGCATTACCCAGAAATAAAATTATGTGTTGAATTTACCATTATGTGTGTTCTTTAAGTGTCATCTTGCTAACTACGCATTCTCTAACTAAGCAGTCCTCTTCAACACCAATCCATTGCAACTCTCACCAATCATCTTATTTCAATAACAATGCAGTTTTATTACATCTATTGGAGCAGTTTTATTACATTAATATATATATACATATTTATAATAGAAAAAATTCTTTTGCAAGTTGCTTTTGAATGAGGTATTATTCAAGCAGCAAGCATTGTAACAGGCAATACTTTGAATTAATGCATCCACTCGTATCTTTTAATCCTGCAATTTCTCTCCATGCTATATCAATATGTAAATTTACAACTTTTTTCAAATTATGTGCTTGATACAAAGAAAACTCAATTTCCACTTCATTAAGATATTTTTCATCAATAGTGGATGTGAAAGTTCACCAACAGATGCAATTTAAACTTTAATTCTCAAGTTACATGAAAAATACATTTATTTCACTTTTATTGAACTCGACATTTTTTTAAATATAATCTTGTTTCTGCACTAATTGCCAATTTTTTCTTTTCTTTTCGCTTATTATGTTTTTGAAACACAATAAATGTCAGAGTAACATTTGCATTTCTTTCAGAAATTGCTGGTGGTTTTACAAATCTACCAAATTCATTAACAGTTCTTTTCAGATTATATACATTGTCTCTCAAAAGTGTTTGCATACTTTAAGAATTTGCAGAAAAAGTGCTGTAACCTGAAATTGAATAATTTTTAATGCTGACTTATTTTCTTTTTCTAAAATTGAAAATGTAAGGAGGCATAGATAAAACACATCACAAAAGTGATCGCATGCCGAAACATTTTCGTAAAATTTCATAAATAAAATTACCAACTACCCCTTTTTTATTTTTGCATTTAAAAAAATTGTTTGGCTTTATTTGTTTGCTTGCTTACTTTGTTATATTTTATTTAATGTTTAAAAATGGCTCGTAGTTGTAAGGAAACGACAAACAGCATTGGATTTTTTATCATAAGGATGGAAATTAGATTCGTGATATCACTAAATTAGTAAATTTATCCCATTCTGTGGCGCAATTAGGTGATAAAATGCTTGAAAGAAGAAAATCAGATCCAAAATAAAGTAAGAAGAGGTTTTCCGGCAAAGAGGCCTCGATGTGACTCAATATCAGAGATTTATAGTTAGAAAATCCACATTTGAGTGTTGTAAAGATTTCTACAGAATTTACTGAAAAATTTACTTAACTTTCACTTAACACTGTTCAATGCATACTCAGATCAGCTGGATTACATGGGCGCTCTGCTCAAAGAAAACTTTTTGGAAGTGCAGAAAATAGAAAGCTTAGGCTTTTTATCTCAAAATCAATGGTAAATAAGCCTGAAGTATATAATTGCATGCAGAAAAGTAAAAAAAAATAAAAAAAAATGAGAAGCTTAATTTCAAGACCTTGGTGTTTGAACAATAAAGCATGGCGGTGGAGGTGTTCTTGTGCGAGGGTGCATGCGCGTATCAGAATTAAATAATTTAGAATTTATTAGTGGCACAATGAACCATACATTTAAATATTCTACTAAAACTTTATTTTTTATCAGGATAATGATCTTAAGCACACGGCCCTCAACATTCGCCTTTTGCATGACTGTAATTGTCCACAAGTTCTGAAAACACCCCCTCAGTAACCAGATTTAAATCCATCAGAACACATCTGAAGAGAATTAGAGGTTGGAGTATAAAGACACAACATTAAAACAAAAACCAAACTAAAAACAGTAATGATGAAAGAATGGAGGAACATTGATTAAGGAGGGAGAACAATGAACTCTATGCCCAGACGTCATAAATACTGCGAGACATACTACAAAATACTAATTGACAGAAATAATACAATATTTACTAATATGTGCTATTTCTTTAAAGCATACAAAGACTTTGAGGCAACTTTTCTGTTACTTTTTTATTATCGATTTTCCAAAAATTTTTTACTGTAGTTTTGCTAAGAGAAATTTATACATATTATTAAAAAATTTTCATTCTAGAATATTAATTTTTATCAATGAATAAAGCAATATTTCACTGAAACTCATAAGTGTATGAATACTTTTAGGAGCCACTGTATATAAGAAGCCTGTCATCACAAATTAAGATTTACTATTATAAACAAAGTATTCTTCAAAAATGGTACATACAATTTGGTCGTAGGTAATTATAGCATGTTTTAAATATTTTGCAATCTCTTTCCTTTTTTTTTTTTTACTGTTGCCTGATTGATCATCAAAAATATTATTCACAGCATCTCACTGTTTCAAAATTCTTGTTACAGACTCTAAAACAGTACATTGTACTGCAGTACTTCAAAATTTTACGAGACTTTCATGTATTCTATCCCAAAAATTGTTGAGCAATTTTGAAGGTGTGTTTCCATTTTGAAATTTTCTCTAAATAAAAATATATATCTAATAAGGCTCTAATAAGGCTAAATATATATCTAATAAGGCTCACCAGTCAATTTCTATTTCTGAGACATTTCAGTTTTCAGTCGCTTTTCCTGCAGCTATATGCAAAAGATGGCATGGACAACATAGAACAAATAAATCATGCTATACTTTTAAATTTTCCCAACATATTACTAGCATTGTCTGAATAAAATGATAAACAACTGTTTCATTCTAAATCTTTGCTAATAAAGTATTCATTTCTGCAATTAAAAGTACCCTCACCAATATATATATATTTTTTTTACAAATGGCGGGTACTTGCCTATAACGGCATGGGTCACTACTAAGGCCAGAAGCAGTGACAATTTTATTATGGAGGCACCTAATAGGCGACCACCATCACCTCCTAGGAAGGGACAAACAATTTTACATCCATAGTCTTACCCGGGCCTTTGGTATCGCAGTCAGGCTCCCCTAACCACTATACCGTCTGGGCGGCCCATCTCCAATATTATTTGTGCATTCTAAAATAGAACACAATGAAGTAATTATCACTTCCCTTTCCTTTGCTATAATATATCAAAGGGTTTGTTATCATTACTTTCATCAGCACTTAATGATATACTATACACTAAATTTACAATACTAGGCAACAGTACTTTCTCCAAGCACTTTTAGAATTGCAGTAATTTTGGTATGACTGCAGCTAATTTTTTTTTTTTTTTTTTTTGCTATGGCAGAATCTGGAAATATTACAATGAAAAGCTGTTTCGAATGGTTTTAAATGGTATGTTATGTAATCATGTTCAATTAAAAATTTAACAAAATACCATTTGGCATTTATGACATTCTTTTCAAATTAGCAAAGTGAGGTGGCACTCACTTAATGACCAGAATTTGTAAACTTAATCGACAAGTCTCTAACGTACAAATTAAAAATTTCGTCGAAGCTGACTGCTTCGAAAGGAAGTATCCATTTCTTTCACAGAAAATATTTAATTTTGGAAAATGTTGCATGTTTTTAATATTCAATTCCAAAACTGAAGAGACCTAAAATTTATTTTAGACCCCCCCCCCCAAAAAAAAAACCCTTTAGAAGTTAAAATGCATTTTTCTCAGTAAATAAATTAAAATTTTTTTAATTTGTAACATCATAGTATTTTATACCTTATGAGCCATAATACTTGGCTTATGCAAGGTGGGTTGTCGATTTAATAACAACATGTCTCCATCTTGAATGTGCCTGTGAACAATTTTAACTCCACCTATAACACTTCCTTGTTGAGTAAGAAGGAGCTTTGATAAAGCCTCACGTTGTGAAGGCTCACCAGTCAATTTTACAATTTTTCCATCTTCTTTCTGTATTAATGAAGCTCTGTAAAATGAATAGCATTGTATTATATACATATATATATCTTTTATAAAATTTAAATTTAAATTTGTTTAAATTTATATATTTTTTATATATATAAGTGTGTGTATGCATTACATACATATATATAACACACATATATAAAACATTTGCGATATATATATGTAAATTTTCATGAACAGTTGTATAACAAATATCCACATATAAAAATTAAAATATTAAAAAAAAAAAAAAAAGTAAAACATGCAATAAAAGTTACATCTAATGTATTTCCTTTTTAATACATTAAAAAAATTTAGACATTAAAATTATTTCTCTTATAAAATATATGTTAATTAAACTAATTGTGAGAGAGATCTTACTTTGAAACTTTTAAATACAGTCGATTCCGATTAATCGGACCACATCATTTTGGTCCTAATAACCACCTGGTCCGATTACACGAATATGTCCTATGTTGTAAAACGGTGCATGATATATGTAGCAAACAGTAAATGTACATGTAAATCATGTACTAAACTGTAATTATGACCTTCATTGTGCAGTACACACGTATGGTGAACATACGTGTATAAACAAGAATTACAGTCAAACTTTTTTCATTGAGAAAATTAATTTAAAAACAAATTCTAAGAAATGATATCCACGACACTTAGCATGAGAAGCACAATAAAAACAAGTTCTTACCAAGTTCCAGTCAACATTTGAAGAACTTATCCAATGTGATATGACGTGTTCTCTTGATGGATTGCACATGAACAAAATTGTCACAAACATCTAATGCAGCAATGGGACTGCCTTCATTTCTCTCCTGCATGAAATACTGACACAAAGTTTCAATGCATTTCCTCATATCCTGTGTTGTCACTTGCACCAACTTATTAGCAGCATCATTATAATCACTTTCTTGGTCTTCCGATGCTGTCATGTGTTTTGCTGCAACTCGAGCAACGATTGCAGGGTCGTAATCTTCATTTTCATCGTAGCATTGAAGGTCTTTGTCGATGGATAAAAATTCTTTGCGATTCTGTACCTGTTGAAGTTTCACATGTCCATCAGCATTTTTACTTTCAATGAGCATGTCCACATCCATCTCCAAAACCAAGTGCTTAAAGCCACAGTGAGAAAAACAGTTCTGAATTATCTCAATGCTCACTTTTTGTCAGCTGTCGGCCACAAATATAACTGCTTGTAAGATGTTGACCTTTGCACTGACTTCACTGGCTTTTGACGATGAGGTCAGCAAGCGTTCTTCAATTGCTTCAAGGATGTAATTAACCACCCTTGCACAATAAAGGGTCTTCAAATTTTTATGATGCCCATGTCCATTGGCTGGACCAAGCTGTGGTCCTGGGAGGTAGAAAATCCAGTTGGATGTTCTTCAAGCAATCTAAATAAGGATGTGCTGCACAATTGTCAAGAAAAAGCAGCATTTTTTTCGACTGGCATTGTAGCTCTCTGTCCCAGTCCTTCAACCATTCTTTAAAAAAATCAGAGGTCATCCACGCATTTCTGTTCGCATGATACACAACTGGTAAACTGCCCATCCTAAGGCTTAGTGCTTTTTCCTATAATGAACACATTCCTCTTGTCCGTTTCTGACATATTAGAGCAGCACAAGATAATTACGAGATTCATTGCTTTTTTGGAGCCAGAGAGTGCAACATGTTTGTAATTTAACAAGCTGTCCGGTGTAGCACGATAATACAGCCCAGTTTCATCAGCGTTGTAGATGTCATCTGCTGAAAAATTTTCAAGAAGTTTTGTTGATTTCCATTCTTCAGCATCTGCACTATCAGCACTTTCTTTCTCGCCATGTGCTTTCTTGAATTTTATGTCATGTATAGATTTCTATAGAGACAACCAACCGCCCCCAGTAACAATGGTGTAGTGTGGTGTGGTGTATTTAATTATGGCAAAGCACACTAGGGCTATCTGCCTAAGGGGAGGGATGCCTTCATGGAGGATTTTCTAAGGGGAACTGGCTTGTATACATGTTACACATGGGGAAAACCATTCATTAAGGGCCTCATCTACGTCTGGATTCTTGCCTTCATGCTTCCGTTTTTTTTTTTTTTTTTTTTTTTTTTTTTTTTTTTTAAAAGTTTGTCCTCGTCCTTCGCATGGTGCCCATTCTTCTCGCAGCTCATTCTATTGTTTTATCAAGTGCGAAATTGTAATCTTTGCCAATCCAGTAATTTCTACCAACTGACGCTGACTACTGTTTTGTGATATTATCCAGGAAACCATTATCCAGGTACTCTTATCCAGGAAACCAATTTTTTCAGCTAATGTCAAGTCCCGCCGTGGCATTTTGGCAGGGAAGACACAGCATGAGCACAGTTCACTGACTAAAGTGGTCTGAAGAAAACTTGGTGTTTCGGGGGTCAAGATGTTGAGGTCAAAAGGGAGATAAAATGCTCGCCGTTCAAAGCTTTGGCACTAAAATCATCTCAAAAGGGTGGTGAAATAGTTGTCTCATGTAAACTTTAATCATGATTGACAGGCGGGAATTCCTTTCAGGTGGAGCCAAACATTCTATTGTTCATTTCATCAAAAATCAGAGATGCAGTGGAACCAATAACCTTGCTGATGACTACTGGTGGCTTTTTGTTTTAAGAAAGGTTAAAAAAAAAACGGTGTATGTGTTCACCTCCCACTGGTTTTGTTCTTGTCATGCACTTAACCCTCCAGGCGGCAAGGCCGTATATATGCGTTCGAAAATAATGGCTCTCATAGCGGCAAGGCAGCATATATGCGTCCAAATATTTTGGTCCTCATGGCGGCAAGGCAGCATTATATACGTAAACTTAAATTTTGGCACGAAACGGCAAAGCAGCATATATACGGCCTGTCTCAGAGTGCCCTCTCCTCTCTGCCCTTAATGTAAACTGACAGGTGATAATTTTTCTCTGCGGGAGGTAATTGAGGAGAGAAATCTATCTATTCGCTAGGGGCAAATGGGTTTTATCGTTAGGTTTTGAATAACAGCTCAGAATAAATAGCTCCTGATTCAGAAGTCAAACAACAAAAATCAGCGTTAATTCACAAAATTTTCACAGGACTAGTTTCGATGGTTTTACCGAACCATCATCTTCAGCTGCAAAACCGCAAATGAACAAGATAGGAAATAATGTTTAGATAAGATGTTAGATAAGACATGTGAAAATTTTGTGAATTAACGCTGATTTTTGTTGTTTGACTTCTGAATCAGTATTTATTCGGCGTGTTATTGTGTCTTAATTAATAAATAGCTCGTTCAAAACTTCCAGCTGTTCTGTGCTTATACCAGCTATAAACTTAAATGTTTATATTCGTAAAGAGAATTTTCATTTTCCAGCCTAATTATTCTCCAAATTTTAGGTGCAGTTTGACAAAATGTAATTGGAATTAAAATTAAAATTGCAAGAAACTGCAACAATATTTTGAAATATGTGATTTCAAATATATTGCAATTGTAATTAGCTTCGCAATTACAATTAGAAAGTAAGTACTTTTTAAATGCAACAATAATGTATGTAATTGCATTTTAATTCTTAAGTCTTACAATTACAATGCAATGATAATCACAAACTATTATAATTATATATTCTAATTACAATTACAAATTGTATTGCATCTAATCAAAATTACGGTAATATTAGCTAATTACAACGTAATTTTAACTGCAATTGCAGTAGGTAATTATAACTACGTAATTAGGAAAGTAATTGTCTCTGATAATTAGAATTACTTAACATAGCGAAATTATGATCATAATTGTAATTCTAAGTGTAGTATGCAATTGTAATAAAATTATGCAATTACTAAGTAGTTATAGTTAAAAAGTAGCTGTTTTTTTAATTACAATTAACGTAATTTCATTTAAATTACAATTACTCTGTATTTGTGAAATCCAATTTCGTATTCTATGCAACTGCAATCATATAATCTAATTACAATTACATTGTCATTGTAACTCCAGTAAGTAATTATAATAATGTAATTAGGACAGCAATTGTTTCTGATAAAAGCAGTTACGTTGCCCAGGAAAATCATGAACTTAATTGCAAATGTAATTGCAGAATGCAATTGAAAACACATAGTAATTTGAATAATATTATGCAATTATCTTGTAATTACAATGTAACAATTTTTAATTACATATACAATTTACTCAAATGCATTTTAATTGTGAAATCTAATTGAATAAACAGTATAACTGTAATTATATAATCTAATAAAAATTACAATGCAATTGTAATGACCTCTTAATTAAAATTGCGCAGCAGATGATTGTAACTATTCAATCAGAAAAAAAACTGCCCCTTATAATTTCAGTGACATAGGCTAAGGAAATCGTGATAATATTTGAAAACTACAGTCAATAATATTATATTTGAATTGTTTCTGCATTTTGGATAATGAGTTTTTAAATAATACAACGGGACAATCACCTATAAGAAAAATATTAATATTTTCTGTCATGTCTTCTGAATCATCTTACATATATTGTAGTTTGTGGTACCAGCATAAATAGGAGTTTATTTAAAGGAAATATTTTATATAGACCGAAATGCACATAACGTTAGTAAGCAAATATGTACGTTTATGATCTTCGATATACATGTGAACTTAAATTACAAGATTAAGGGAAAGCAAGCAAAGAGTTTATGCCAGTGCAAAGGGATGTTTTTGCAAAGGTGTTTACATTACACAAGAAATAAATCATAAAAATTACATTTATCCTTTTCTTTTTCAGAAAGGAGATCATCAAGGACTAAACTAAGTCTCATAATTTTATCCAACCTATTGCTTTAGCTGTAAAAAACGATTCTGATCAGCAATCAGTATGTTTAATTGCTGTGTGTATTAGACATTTTATTAAATCCATTTATTATGAATTACCGCCCAGACAGTAAAGCGGTTCGTGACTCTGGTTGCCGTACCGAAGAGCCTGGGTTCGAATCCCGGATAGGGCATGAATGCAATTTGTTCGTCCTCTTCATAAGTGGCAACAGTGG